GATCGGTGGATGTTGAACGATCTCTGACGTTGTAGAGGTCGATGTTGCACGATCTGACCCAGGATCGGTAGACGTTGAACGATCTCTGACGTTATAGAGGTCGATGTTGGACGATCTGACCCAGGATCGGTGGACGTTGAACAATCTCTGACGTTATAGAGGTCGATGTTGGACGATCTGACCCAGGATCGGTCGATGTTGAACGATCTCTGACGTTGTAGAGGTCGATGTTGCACGATCTGACCCAGGATCGGTCGATGTTGAACGATCTCTGACGTTGTAGAGGTCGATGTTGCACGATCTGACCCAGGATCGGTGGACGTTGAACGATCTCTGACGTTTTAGAGGTCGATGTTGGACGATCTGACCTAGGATCGGTGGACGTTGAACGTTGTTATAGAGGTCGATCGATCTGACGATTTAGAGGTCGATGTTGGACGATCTGACCCGAGGATGACGGTGGACGTTGAACGATCTCTGACTCGAGGTCGACGATCTTGGAGGTCGATGTTCTGACCCAGGATCGGTGGACGTTGAACGATCTCTGACGTTATAGAGGTCGATGTTGGACGATCTGACCCAGGATCGGTCGACGTTGAACGATCTCTGACGTTGTAGAGGTCGATATTGGACGATCTGACCCAGGATCGGTCGACGTTGAACGATCTCTGACGTTGTAGAGGTCGATGTTGCACGATCTGACCCAGGATCGGTCGACGTTGAAAGATCTCTGACGTTATAGAGGTCGATGTTGGACGATCTGACTCAGGATCGGTGGACGTTGAACGATCTCTGACGTTGTAGAGGTCGATGTTGCACGATCTGACCCAGGATCGGTCGACGTTGAACGATCTCTGACGTTGTAGAGGTCGATGTTGCACGATCTGACCCAGGCTCGGTGGACGTTGAACGATCTCTGACGTTATAGAGGTCGATGTTGGACGATCTGACCCAGGATCGGTGGACGTTGAACGATCTCTGACGTTATAGAGGTCGATGTTGGACGATCTGACCCAGGATCGGTCGACGTTGAACGATCTCTGACGTTATAGAGGTCGATATTGGACGATCTGACCCAGGATCGGTCGACGTTGAACGATCTCTGACGTTGTAGAGGTCGATGTTGCACGATCTGACCCAGGATCGGTCGACGTTGAAAGATCTCTGACATTATAGAGGTCGATGTTGGACGATCTGACTCAGGATCGGTCGACGTTGAACGATCTCTGACGTTGTAGAGGTCGATGTTGCACGATCTGACCCAGGATCGGTGGACGTTGAACGATCTCTGACGTTGTAGAGGTCGATGTTGCCCGATCTGACCCAGGATCGGTGGACGTTGAACGATCTCTGACGTTATAGAGGTCGATGTTGGACGATCTGACCCAGGATCGGTGGACGTTGAACGATCTCTGACGTTGTAGAGGTCGATGTTGCACGATCTGACCCAGGATCGGTCGACGTGAACGATCTCTGACGTTGTAGAGGTCGATGTTGCACGATCTGACCCAGGATCGGTGACGTTGAGAGGAGGAGGGGGCGGAGGGGGAGGAGGAGGAGGCGGAGGAGGAAGGAGGAGGAGGGGGCGGAGGAGGAGGAGGGGCGGAGGAGGAGGAGGGAGGAGGAGGAGGAGGAGGGGGCGAGGAGAGAGGAGGAGGAGGAGGAGGAGGAGGAGGAGGAGGAGGAGGAGGAGGAGGAGGAGGAGGAGGAGGGGGCCGGAGGAGGAGGAGGAGGAGGAGGAGGAGGAGGAGATCCCCGCGGTGTCAGGAGCCAGCCTCGGAGTCGGCACGACACGAGCCCGCCGCGCCGAGGCCGCCACCCCTGCCCTCGCTTCCGGCCCTCTTTTGTGGGCCTCCCGGGAGGCCCCCGGCGCCAGGGCAGGGGCTTCGCCTCGAGGTGCTGGTCCGAGCGCACCTTGGGAGAGGTCCGGAAGGTACTCCAGATCTCGTAATAAAAGGGAGGGGGTCCTCCTCCTCCTCCTCCTCCTCCTCCTCCTCCTCCTCCTCCTCCTCCTCCCCCTCCTCCTCCTCCTCCTCCTCCTCCCCCTCCTCCTCCTCCGGGCGCGCATCAAGAGACCACCTGCTTTTCGTCAGGGCACTCCAGATCTCGTAATAAAAGGGAGGGGGTCTGGACCCTCCAAGACAAGCCATTTCAGACCTCCCCCGTGGGAGAACCCTCCAAAACATCGTCCCCAGACCCCCCAGGCCCTCCAAGATAGCCTGGAAGAGGCCCCCCCCGGAATGAGACCCCCCTCCCTTTGTTACGAAATCTGGAGTAGCCGTATCGCTGTTTTCGACTACACGTAAGAGTGACCCTTCGCCGGAGTGACCTTTGGTGCGGGCTCATCGGGCTCCCCCCGATCGCCGAGCACGGTGCGATACAAGCGGCCCACGCCCTTGGGTTTGGTTCCCCAGCGCCCCCAGAAGCTGCGCACCAAAGGTCACTCTTACCCAGGGTCACTCTTGCGTCTAGTCGATGTTTGCGGTCTTCCCAGGACTGAGAAGGGCGCTGGCGCAGGCTGTTCTTTTCGAGGGGGCCGCTTCGGCACGCCTCTCCACGCTCGTAGTTCGGGGGCGCTGGATGCTTCGGTGATCACGTTTCAAGTGTTTATTCTACCCCGAATACTGGTGTCATTGGAAAAAGGAGGGAGGGATGGAGGGATGGAGGGAGGGAGGATTACCAGGATTACCGCCTTCACAAGAGTGAAAAGAAACAACAGAACGCTCAGGCCTTGGGCACTAACTCATGATCCATCCTGTCGAGATGCTCTCGACGCGTCTCGGTCAGAGGCAAATTGCATGGCTTACCTAATCCTCCGAGCATGTGCTGGCCGAAAAAGCCACATGTGCGACAGAACCAGAGACCAAGCTGAATGTGATATTGTAGCTTGTGCGAGGGTCGGGCCCGACCTCCGGCGATGCACACATCGTCCACGGGGGAGCTTACGACACCTACCGTCAACGCTCTCCTGTGCAAAACGTCAACGCTCTTGAGCCAGGAGCACGCCGCCTCCTTCGGGGCCCTCGATCCTCAAACTGCCGGGCCGGCCGCTCTCGGCCAGTGGAGCGGGCGGTCGTGCCGCGAGCTGCTGTGCTCCGGGGGCAGGGGCAGGGCAGGGCAGGAAAAGGCGGAGGAGGAGGGGGCTCCTGCAAGCTCGCGAGCAAAGGAGGGGCGTCCGTCGCAAAGAAGTTCGAGGAGGACGAGTTCGGGGCCCACCTGAGGCCGTCGGACTGACGGGCTACGCCGCGGCGGCCGCCGCCGCGGCACAGAGCCCTCACTGAAAGGGTTCGCTGAAAGGGGGCTCCTGCCATGGGGCCCCCGCGGCGGGCGAGCCTCTCGCCGGGCGTGCGGCCCTCGGCGCGGACGGTGAGCAGAGCAGCCCGCGGCAGCCGACGGCGCACCAGCGCCGCCTCCTGCTCAATCGTTAGAGGGCCACAGGCGAACCCTACCCCTACCCCCCACGATTTCTGAGGGGGAGGGTGGGGTTCACTTCGCTCGGGAGCTCCCGCGCGAAGTGAGCCCCACCCTCCCCCTTCAGAAATCGTGGGGGGTAGGGGTAGGGTTCGCCTGTGGCCCCCTCAATCGTGGCCGCCCTGCGGCGGCGCGCCTCGCTCCCTCGCCACCGTGGGCCGCGCGCAACGCCAGCCAGCGTGTCTATAGGATCTCGCTGCAGTGCCGTTTTTTGATGCATGCTCCGCGTGCGGATCCTGCATCAACAACGCAGGGGTTCAGTATGGAACAAACAACGAAGGGTTCATGCATACATGTATTCCTACGTGAATCATGTATTAAAAATCCCATATAACAAATCCCATGTATCAAAAACTGCCCTGTACCCTGCAGCAGCCAACTGGCGATGCCGCGCTGCAGTACTTCCCGCCCCGTGAGATGCGACGCGACCTGCGGAGCTGGGACCGCGGCAGCCGATCTCGACTGTGACCGAAGCAACTGACCAGTGGAACGCCGCACATCTGCGTGCTGACCCGTGGGCCTGGCGTAAAGAGACTCCCACCAGCCACGGCGTACATCATCATTGTCCATTACGTTCCAATCGGGCCTGTCTCTACACAGGAGGAACATGTACACCACAGCCAAAACATCGTCGGGGGACGATTTGTTGGGGGGTATCACTCGTACCATTTTTCGGGGGCATTTGTTTGACCCTGTCTTACTTCTCGCCCAGAGTCACCCTGCAGGAGGACAGGCCCGACGGAACGCCACGTGCACCACAGCTCCGCCTGGCATGCCCGACTGCTGCCTCCGGGCCCTGCGGCTCGCCGCGGGGACCGGCCCGCCGCGCCCAGCATGGCGCGGCGACGGGCCCTGCAGCGCTGCCGTGCCCGGGCCCGCTCGCCGCGAACGTATGCCAGGTGTGGCAGCGCCGCCCGACGCGTCACCCCAGACCCCCTCGAGTAATGAAAAAATCATGACGGGAGGTTTTTCGCCATTTTCGGCCTCTGGGGGCCCTCACCGGGCCTCGGGACCGTCAAAAAACGACTCAGGACGAAAAACCGGTCCTGGGGAAGGGGTCGGGACCTCTGGGGTCGCGTCATGAAAAAATCATGACGTCGGGGGTCTGGGACCGAAGGGTGATGAGCGATTCGGCGGCGCGCCCGGGGGGCAAGTGAGAAGGCTCGGAAGTCCCCCTGGCCTTCCGAGAAGTCCTGTAGGCCTTCCCCGGAGACGGAACAGCGCTTCTCGGAGGGCGCGAGGGCTGCCGCGAAGTCCCGCCGCCTTCTGAGAAGGCCTTCTGCTTCTCACTTCCCCCACTCCCTCGCCGCCGAGCGATGCGTCGACGGTGCCCGCTCCCGAGCATCTTGGGACAAGGAGCGAGCTCACGTTGCCCGCACTCCAGCAAGTTGCCGCCAGAGGGGGGGGGAACCGTCGTCCTGCTCGCTGGAGTCGGCCCTCGGGTCCAGAAGCGCTCCGCACCGTCCTGCGCCGCCGCCGCCCTCGTGTGCAGGTGCTCCGAATCCGAGAGGCCTTGCCGCCATCGTCGCATGCGCACAAACATCAGACTCGCACAGGCCGGCTTGAAACTTGCGAGATTTGGTCCACGTTCCGCCAACTGCGATTCCCAACACGAGCTCCGACAGCTGAGACCTTTTGTAGCCATGCATCAGATTGGCGAGACACATCCGACAAGAATGGAGGTCGCTGCCTCCCACTAGGCCTTCGCCGCCAAAGTGACCTGCTGCTTCGCGCCACTGCCGCAGGGCCAGCGACTCTTCAAATTCATCCAAGAGGGGCGTAACTTTATCAAGAGTCACCACTTCGTCCGAGGAGAAATTCCAAGCGTGACGATCGACTGCACTATCACTCCTGGTGTCCCACTCGACGGCTGACACTGGGAGCCAACTCGCCTGCAACAGATATGCCACGACAGCAGAGAGGGAGGCTTCGGATGTGCCGTGCCCTCTGCGCCTCTTCCGAACCCGACACTTGGGACAGGATGCCTGCCCACGCGCGCCGGATGCCCGCGCGCTGCCTCGGCCCGGTGATCCAAGCCTGCAGCCACTGCGCCAAGCGCTGCCTCGGTAGCGTCAGGCCTGGGTCTGCCCCAGGCATCCTCGGCGCCGGCCGGGTGGCGGTACACCTCCCTCGCTTTGCGAAGCTGGCGTCCGCCGCAGGGCGCCGCCGCTGCATGGCCACGGCGGACCCAAAGCATCCGTGGGCCTGATGGCCGCGCACCGCGGCTGCCTGCTGCCCCACTCGCTGCACCTTCATCGTTCGGGTATAGCCAGGACCCCAGGTAAGGGGACCCGGTTAGTGCTAGGGCCCCGGAGCCCTTCAATTGACCAGGATCACGAAACCAGGTCTGCCGTAGCCTGTGTTTTTTTCGGGTGACGGCAGTTCCGCTTAGTGGAACGGGGCGGGGGGGCGTCCCCCAGCACACGTCACGTCACTAAACCAGATCCCACTAAACCCAGTGAAGACCTGTTTTATGTGTGCGCAAGCCAGGGGGGGCAACCATGCGACCCTCGTCGTCCACGTGGCTCGGAAAGTGGTTGTCACGCGTCAGAAAAAACTGCGGCTGGGACTTGCCCCCCTATCTGGAGGACCTACAACGTCACCGAGGGCGAAGAGGGAGGACAAAGAAGCCAACGCCAGAATCGTGGTGGTGTACCTCGCTGAAGCCCGAGCGTACTTCACAGCCACTGCACGTGCTGCGCTCCGGCCTTGCTGGTGCGCTGCCGTGCCGCTGCCGGCGCCTGCCGCCTGCCGCTGCCCGTGTCGATCCCGAGGTGGGGCGTCTGTGCTTCAAACGGCACCTCGCGACCTGCACCTCAGCTTTAACCGTCCGCGCTTCGCATCGGGCCTAGGTGGCAACGCACACAGAAGTCGCAGGTACACGACGTGCAAAAGGCACGTGCTACAAATTGCACCCTCGCGGTTTGCGCCTCGGCCTCGGCCGTCCGCGCTTGGCATCGGGCCTAAGTGGCAGCGCGTTGACGCCGATGCCGCGCCTACGTAGAAGCCGAACCACGGCCTTCGCGTCTTCGTGCACGGATCACGTGATCGCCGATTTGGGCGACGTGCTCAAACCCTGCTCTGCAAAATGCTTGACCGTGCTCCCAGCCCCCTTGGCCGAAGTTCCGAGGCGGAAATTCATCCATATCCACCGCATGGAGGGTCAGTTTTCGGAGCTTCGGCAGGCGGTGGATATGGACATATTCGGGCACCCAAGGCCGAAATATATCAATATCCACCGCCCGCTGGGGCACCAGGCCGTCAGTTCCCAGGCGGTGGTTCTGGATAAATCCCCGCCTCGCAAAAGTCAAACGAACACGACGACGCGACCCGAAAACACGTTGATACGAAGCATCTATCCACGATCTCTCAGCAAGTGATGGCTGAGCCGCACGTGGCTTCTACAGAACCCATTAAGTCATGCAGCGTGCACATCGTGTCCCACGTCGCAGCCCTTGCGTCGCCGAGCGAGCAGGCTGACATGGGATGGAATGCGCATCCATTTGCGCCACCATGCATTGGCGAAGGCAAAGCTGGAGCTCCAAACACAAAGTGGTCGGCGGGAACCTAAGCTGAGTATCGTTTGACCGACCCCCATCACCATCCCCATCCCCTTCGAGACCCCCACCAAATTACCCCCCCCCCCTCAGCTGGGGATACACCCCTCGAAACCCGAAGGGATCGACCTATATCCCCATCTAAGGGGGCAAATCGGCCAGTGGGGCCCAGGCCACGCCGCTGGGGATGGGGACTGGTTGAGAGTGCCAACCGCTATGTGCGGCCACTCACTAGTGTGGTAGAAGGAGTGCACGTTTATGAGGCCAAGTCCACGGGGAAGGTTAAGCTTCACGTGCATCTCCTCCCCGAGCACCCGAACAAGTGCCTCGCGAAGAGCACCGTTGTTGGCCACCGCAGCGACCCACATCGCCTCCACATCCAGCGACCGCCGCTCTCGCATCTGAGGCGCTCGCGCCATGCTCCACAGGCGGCAGGGCATGGCGATGGGCCCTGCGACGCGATCGCCTCCTG